ATATGGCTATGGTATTTTTGAGGGATTCACATCAACCCATTACTATTTCAATTCCAATAACTATGATAACTTAGGGTAAATTATATGTAGTACATAAATTATTATTTTTTATTTTGTTTTGATACTCAAACTTTATTTATTTAATAGTTTAAGTTTTAATTTGGTATCATTGTTAAAAATTTAACAGAACCGTGATATTTTTTTAATGATGACATGATGTCACGTCAACATCACCACTAAGTTTTAATAGAGGAATACTAAAATGAAACTTAAACTAAATGATAGGTATAATTTTAAAAAATAACAAATAAATTTAGATATTAAAATGGAATAAAAATAATAATTTAAATACTAAACATATGATTTACCCAAACCACGAAGTATTTGAGCATTTATTATTACGTGATTAAGACTCTTTTGAATATATATTATATTATAATCACTCTAGATTAATAAAAAATTAAAGTATGTATTATATTTTTTATTTTTAAAGAATCAAAATATAATAAAATAATATTTTATTTTTATTAAAATGTTGACATTAATTATTATTTGTCACGTTATTTCCATCCCATTATTAACAAATAATTAAAATTCCAAAAAATATTTTTTTTTGTCTTTATGATTTTTTAGGGTTTTTTTTTGATTAATTCGGACTAACCTGCGTCACACATTTTACTTTAGTGAGAGAGTCTCATAACAAAGATTTTGTGCATATACAAAACCTATTGAACCCGCATGCGTTAATTAAAAAAAGTTATTTAATTTTATATTAACTATTTCTTTTTATCATTTTTATCATCTCAACTTTCAAATATTAATTGTAAATCATCAATTAATCATATATCAAATTATTATAAATAATTTATCCATAAATACTATCAATTCTTTTTAGGTCTCCTTGAGATCTAATATATAGTTATATAATCTACGATTTTTTTGGATGAAAAATGGTGTCGGTGCTTATATCATAATGTGAAATACATTTCGGATTTGTACTTTTCAATATACACTCGGAAAATAAATAAAATAAAATAAAAATATAATATATATAAACATTTTCTCAATTATAGGGTATTATTTTATTAAATTATTGATTATTAAAAAAATAATATATATAAATAAAGTATCGATACTTTCAAATTTTATATAACAAGTTTTGATCCTCATAACATAGGTATCGATATGTTATCTTTCAATCTTATCTTTATCAAAGTTTCGATACTTTGTTATTTTTAACAAGTTCCGATCCTCATAACAAGTATCGATCCTCATAACAAAGTTTCGATATTTTGTATTAAAGTATTGATATTTACACTATCAATCTTTTTCTTATTTTAACCGGTTAAGTTAACATTATTAAGTAACGTTATAGGTTGTGCCTTGTTATTTTTAACCAGTTACCTTATAACTATGACTAACATTTAAGATTACGCCTTGTTTTTTAAAAATTGGTAATCTTATAAGTAGGAGTAACATTAACGGTTGTGCCTTGTTATTTTTAACAGGTTACCTTATAAGTTGGAGTAACGTTAATGGTTGCGCCTTGTATTTTTAACTGGTTACCTTACAAGTAAAAGTAACGTTTACGGTTGCGCCTTGTTTTGTTTTTATCGTTACCTTATAAGATGGAGTAAAACGTTAACGGTTATCTTACAAGGAAGTAGGAGAAAAGGAAGTAGGAGAAACGGAAGTATCGATATTTTAACTTATTAATATTTTAATTTTCGAACTTATTTGCATACATTTTATATAAAAAGTTTAAAACTCAAGTATTTATAAGTAACTTGAACAATTTTTTCAAATGAACAAGTATCGAACATCAGAGCATAAGTACTTTTCTATCTTAACTTAAACATTTTTTCTTCAAATAAACAAGTATCGATATTTTAATTTTCATCAAAATTTTCAAATGCTAAAGTATCGAACATCATAGAAAAAGTATCGATATTTTACCATTCATCAAATGCTAAAATATTGACCATCAGATCATAAGTATTGATATTTTTTTAAAAAAAATCTCCTCCAAATAATACAATTACATATTAAAGTGTAACCATATATATTATAGATATTCATAACATTATAATTAATTAACTTATTTTGTTTTCGTGGAATTGTCTAAGCTCCATCAGCTTAAACTTTGGTAACATTTTAGGCGCAACCTAATATGTTAATAATATTTATAACAAAATAAGTAATTACTTATTTTGTTATCGTAATATTTATAAGACTCCATCAGCTTAAACTTTGGTAATGTTTTATGTTAATAATATTTATAAAAAAACAAGTAATTAATCTATTTTGTTATCGTGGTATTTCTAAGACTCCATTAGCTTAAACATTGGTAATATTTTAGGCGCAAACTAATATGTTACTAATATTTATAACAAAATAAATAATTAATTTATTTTATTATCATGAGATTTCTAAGGCCCATCAGCTTAAACTCTCATAACATATTAGGTTACAATATATTAGACGCAATCTAATATGTTGATAATATTAATAATAAAATAAATAATTAACTTATTTTCTTACCCTTTATAATATTTAGGCGTAAACGTTTCTAATAATTTACTTAAATTACTAAAATCAATATTTTCTTTGCTCATTTTACATACAATAATAATATTTCCAATAATACTTTTATCGAATCACGTCATTTATTAATCATATTTTAACCGCGTGACAACATAACCTCCCATATAATTTCTCTCAACCGTCACACAATATATCATAATATGAAGAGAAAGATCCATGAAAGAAGTGATGTTTTGAAGTAGTGATTGACGTGGGCGCTTGAGTCGATTGAAATTTTTAATATTTTTATATTTTATATTATAATTTATTTATATAATTTAGAATTTATCCTTAATATAAAATTTGATTTATAATGATTAAATTAATTTCAATGTTTATATAAATTGTATTTAACTTTTTTTTTTAAGTATTGTAGTTTTAAAAATTTTATTTTTTTATCAAAATAACTTATGTTGGTTAGAGATTATTAATTAACTACTTATTAATATATATTATTAATATGACACATGTATTTAATTGGTGACATGATATATATCATAATATAAATTCAGATAAAATGTCACATTAATAATAATTTTTTGGTAATAAGAATAGTCACAATATTAGTGGGTAGGTCGATCTAGCATATTAGCCAGGTCAGAATTAAAGGCGTGTCGAGTTTCTTAAGGGGCTGAGTAAAATGGGTACGTCATCAATATATCTTATCAACATTTAAACATATGTAAAATTGGTATGTCAACATAATATTTTGATCGTTAATCTAATAACAATTATTTTAACAAAAAAAATTGAGAATCAAATATTCTAAAAATTAATATATCAATATATTAATGGTATATTGTTTAATGATTTTATTTAAATAATTATTTAATTTATTTTTAATATATAAAGATTCTTTTTTGTTAATTTAGAAACAGATAGGACCAAATACGGTTAAGTTGTTAACACCAAACTTATCCAAGAACCGTGTGACCTGCCCATTCCAGGACACTCTTGGGAGAGGATATTCATGTTTTGGGTTGGTCTGCCCAAATTTAATTTTTTAAATATTATTTTTATAAAAGTTCATTATAAAATATATTAATATTAATATAAAATAACACGTGGTTTAGAAAAATACAAGTAAATTTCGATACATAGAAAATATAATATAATCATATAAACATCGAAAAGATTAAAGCCTTTGGAAAGCGTTCCTTAATAAGCAGAACTTCCCATAAATTTAATTCTATAATTATTATATAGTTAATACATAGAATGATTATGAGCCCGCATTTCCATATGATCTGTCTCTGACAGTAACCAGTACAGGTAATAAAATAATATGAGAATGAAAAAAGTAAAGTATAGAAATGATGTATGATTATAAGATTATAAAATGTTATTTTATTTAATCTTTTGATTATTAAAATTATAAAATAATTTTTTAATATTATTTGATTAAATCATTCGGTTATTAAAATTATAAAATGATTATTTAAATTTTTCTATTTTTTAAACTTGTTTTTTTGTTAAAAAATAATGATTGTATGAGCTAGATGTAAAATATTGATTGAGATATAATAAAATTTAATCCTATAACCGTTTAAGTTGTATTTTATTGATTACTCCATGTTTATATTATATCATCGAGCCAATGCTTGAAACATTATGTCGTCGAACTGCTTGAAAGTCTTGACGGTGGTATTAGACATTATTAAAATATAATTTTATCATATCTCATATAACATGTTAACCTAACTTGAATAATTGTTAATTTTTTAATAAAAAATAAATTTAAAATATATGAATAGTTAGATGATTATTTTATAATTTAAAAATCAACAAAATAATATCTAATAATCAATAGATCATTTTATTATTTTATATAATGAATAATTTATTATAGATCTTATAATCAACAACCATTTATATATTATAGTCATAAGAAAAATAGTGAATATTTTTTTTATAAATAATAAAACTTTCCATGTCTTTGTAATAATTGGAGTTTAGATAAGGAAAATAAATTATCCATAACATTGCCACTGACCGAACACTCTCCTAACCGACAAGCTTCCATACGCCTCTGCTAGTGAGTATAACCCACCTTTTTTTTCCTTTCCTTTTTGTAATCTGTAAGAGATTTATTCTGTGTCTTGTTTTTCGTTTTTTTCTTTTTGGTATTATATAGTTACAAGTCCATCTTAGTGCCGTGTACAAGCAGTTTACAAAATTAGAAAGAAAAAAAAAAGGTCAGTTCATTTCAAAGAAGACCCGTAAAAGCACCTCGATTTTGGAACCGGGTTTGTGTCAAGATCTTGGATTTCCAGCAAAAATTTTCAGTTTTTCCTTTGACTTTTTTTATTATTCATAGAGATTAGAGCCAGAGTCCCAAGGTGAATATGATTCATGTTCTCTCCTTGTTTTTTATTGTTCTGTAATTGTTCAAGTTAAAAGGGAAACTTGGGAAATTTCTTGTTTTTACTCTGCCTTGGATTCCCCTTTCTGTGATTTGTGAAGAAAAAAGTTAATTGCTTTATTGGAATATGAGCTTTAAGTGATGGGTCTTTGCTTAATATTAAGCCTCAGGTCGAACTAGCTCACTTCAAAAACCTCAAACCTTTCAGGATTTTTCCGTTTCTGGGTAGTAAGGGAATTCTCTGGTTCAATCCGAATGTTGGGTTTTGTAGTTGATTTTCTTTGATTTTTGCTTTTGAAGCTGTTGAGAGTTCAGTAAAAGGGTTTTCTTTTGGTTTCTTATATCGAAGAATTTGTGTTGAAAGTAAGTCTACAAAGGTTTTCTATTTTTTGCTTTTGTCATTGCTTCATTGTTTGGGAGTGATTTGAAGTTGTCAACTTAAAAAAAAAAACCAAATCTTTGAGTTTTTGGGTTCTATTTCTTTGAAATTTGGAAAATCATGTTTTTTATAGCTCAGGGAGGGTTTGGGGTTAATAACATGGCATCAATTTTAAATTTCACGTACTAGGGTTTTGCTTGGAGAATTTGGGATTTTTATTCTAATTAGGTTTTTGATTTGGGAATTGCTTCTAATTGGCATTGATATGTGTTTTTTATTTTAGAGAATTTTGATTTCACGTTATGCACTTTGTCTTGTTTTGCCAGGTTCATTTTATTGGTGTTAGCATGGATTCCCCACAATCGGTTGTGTCACCATTGAAGAGCTCTGTTGTAGCCGAGTGCGAGAAGCAGAAACCCAATTTTTTCAACGGATCTGATGTTAACAAAATCGAAGCTGTTTCGTTGAAAAAAGACAACATCCTTGGTGTTCTTGAGGTTTATGTCCATCAGGCAAGGGACATCCATAACATCTGCATTTACCACAAGCAAGATGTGTATGCTAAGCTTTGTCTCACCAGTGACCCTGAGAGCACAGTTTCCACCAAGATCATCAATGGTGGAGGGAGGAATCCGGTGTTCAACGATAACCTTTGCCTCGACGTTCATAACGTTGATTCGTCTCTGAAGATCGAGATATTCATGATGAGTAGAGTGAGGAATTATCTCGAGGACCAGTTGCTTGGGCTTGCATTGGTGCCACTGTCTGAAGTTATCGTCAAGAATGGGAAATTGGAGAAAGAGTTCTCTCTGTCTTCAACTGATCTGTTCCATTCACCTGCAGGTTTTGTTCAATTGTCGCTTGCGTATGTTGGATCGTCTCCTGATGTAATGGCTATTCCTGATGTTGTTCCTGATGAAATTGTGAAGGATTCGGAAACAAGTGAGTTCGAAAAGATCGAGTTTCCGGATCTGAAAATCGTGAATGAGAACCAGATGATGGTGTCCGAGTACTTCGGGATCCCATGTTCGAATTTGGACTCTGAAAGTTTGGCCACCTCTGATGCTGAGAACTCAGAAATGGGTGTTAATGTACTTGAAAGCTTCTCAACTGCTACATTAGATTCAAACCAAGTCCCCAAGCTTGATTCTCCCCCAAGCAGTGTGTCAACCAATAGGGTTTCACTTTCATCTCCATCCGCTGCAGCAAGCTCTGAGTCCTCCGATGGTGCTTCGAAGACTCCCACTCAGGGACACACTTCAGTCCTGAAAGAGAAAACAGTCCACGTTAGAGATGGCGACAACAGGGATTCCTCGGAGGCGAAACCCATTGTTTCTGTCAATATTGAGCCTGAAATGCAGGTGGTACAGCAAGATATAGTGGACATGTACATGAAAAGCATGCAGCAGTTTACAGAATCATTGGCTAAGATGAAACTGCCCCTGGACATCGATAGTGGACCGACCAAATCGGAAAATTCAAGTACTACAACCGATCAGAAAATGCAGGCATCGAAGAACAAGGGGTCACGGGTGTTCTATGGAAGCAGGGCATTTTTCTAAAGCCCTGTGCTTCAGATTTTCAAAAGGAAGACACACAGGTGACTTGAGATTTTAGGGTGGGTGACTGCAATGTGCTGTTTTGCTTTAGACATTCAACATGCCTTTAGATGAAGGGGGAAAACCGTAACTTACTAGCTTTGTTCCACTGCAACTACTGCTAGTATATATATGAATGAACCCATTTTACCCTTGAATAATGGCAAATCCTATTGTCTAATTATGAGTGGATTTAGCGACTTCAACATTTTCCTATTGGGAACCGCCAATGGTGATTTAAATTTGAAGAATCCAGAAATTTAAATCCCAGATTTTCTCGATATCCACAAAAAGGAAAGGAAAAGAAAATAAATAAAAAACCATGCCCCTTTTTACCTCCCTTACGGTGCTCAAATACCCTAAATCCTTAAATTTAATTAGAGAAATATCTAATCCCCTACACCCCTAAATTAAATTAGAGAATTAAGATTGTAGAGTTTTTGGAAATCAGGGTTTTATGAATTTTGCATTTTTTTTGTAAAATAAGAAAATTTAAGGGTTTTTTAATTATAAATTTTATTTTTTAAAAATTAAAGAAATTTAAAATTTAAGTCACATATTAAATATTAATTGATTAACTGATTTTTAACGAACTTTTTAACAATAATTAACGGCTAGACATTTCAATTGATAACTTCTCCGAAATTAAAAAATTTGTATTGTTTGAACATTTATATTTTAATTATGTCTTCTTTTAATAAGGTGTGAAGAGTCTGTTAACATCCAAACATGCTCCTCCTGGTAGCAACTTGTAATATTGCTTTATGGTCATGCATGGGGTGATGTGCAACTCGGAGAACCTGTGAATTTGCGGTGCAATGAGGGGCTATGCCACATTCACTGCAAAAACAGTACCCCCAACTCAGTAAAACCCCAGTTTAGTTCTGGTTGTTGATTTACATCTCAGTAGGGTTTCTTTTTGGCAGTAATTATTAAAGTTCCATCACCCATGTTTGCTCATTCATCAACACCTGAACTTTTTTTCTTTGACAAACATTTGTGAATAAAAGTAGATGGACCGACAAATTAAAGAAGTAAAAGATCTGCTGTTTCTCATCATCAAAGATTCTCTTCCCTCAGCTCCAATGGTCTAATCGCCGGGGACCAAAATGGAATTCGAACCTTGATCCGGTTCATTCAACATGATGACCTGAAAACCATAATCGAATTGGCTTGACTTCCGTCTCGATTGTTCGACATATCGAGAAATTCGGAATTCAAACTCGGGACTAGTTCTGTAGCAACAAGGCAACAAAAGACTATGGAGACTTAAGAGAGGTGATTTGGATGGTGGAAGGCTCCTAAAATCCACATAACAAAAAGCTTACCAACAAGTTCATCTCATTATCAGAGGACAAAGAATGCCATAAAATTATTCACATAAAGTTAAAGAGAGAGGACCACAACCATGTTAGTAAGGATAAGAACTCTCAGTATGGCCACAAAGTAGTTATTCGGAACAGATGGGAACCTCTGAAGAACACATCAAGAAAAGGCAATTAATGCATCATTTGTATCATTCCAGAAAAAGTAAACAGTCCGATTTTCCTATCGTATCCGTTTATCATAACCATACGAACGTCCTCGTGTCATGTTCTTTATATGTCAATATGAAGAAAAACGACGTGTCGATGACGACTTACCGAATGTTATCATATATAATCTAATGAAAAAAATGAATCAGAAACTTTTGTAATTTATTTTATTGGCATTTTTATATGGATATTTCTCAAACGATTCACACTAGCAAATCGAACCGAAACTCCTTAATATCGGGGAGAGAAACAATCCCAGATAATAACAAGAAAACGTAAGGACAGGACCCAGCAGCTCAGCCAGGCATTACAGCAGCTGTAAATTTTAAAAAGGAAAAATAATCAATACCCTATTGTTCGATGTACCATTACTGGCACGCGTTGCTGGAGATGCATGGTACATTAAATCGAACCAATCTTCAGGAGTGTATATCCCGCATTCTGGTTGTAAACCTCACTCAAATACCAAGAGGGGAACCTAAATTCTTTTCACTGTTAAAATAAAGAAGAGAAGTAAACAAATTCAAACCCCAAACCTTGTAGAAAATCGCTTGAAACTGCTCACTCTGAATGTGTATTCAGTATTTTTCAAATCATTAACCGTCGTTAGTCCCAAAAGATCAATCTCCGTGTATGCCAACATAGTAACGAGTCAGTTGTATCGAATTCACAAATTCTTCACATGTTTGTGCATATTCTTTCGGCCTACATTATAGTATCTGATATCCAAATAACGGACCTCCTAGGCAGCAACTCCTGAAGAAGAAACAATGAAATAGATGAATTAACAAATATTCAGAAGCTTTTCGTAAAGACCACTTAATGAACTAAAGAGTATTACCTCTACTGGACTGTCTACTTCCAGCACTGTAATTTCCAACATAATCCTCAGAGGTTCTTGCAGTATCATCTGCAGATGTATTGCCGAGCTCATAACCAAATGAGCTAGAACCATCCAAGTCAGGTGCTGCAAACTTCCAAGTTGAGTCACCATAGACCGGACCACTGCGGTAAAGATCCCCATAGGAACCTTCAATATTACCAGTTGGTCCAGCAAATGATGATGTTGGAGCTACAACAGTGCCGATATTTCTTCTGTATCCACCCCCTCCCAAACCATAGTTGTCATCGGCACTCCCAACGGTATAGCCAGAAGCATTTCCTCCACTTCGAGAAGGAAGAGAAGGGATCCAATTTTCCCCACTATTTCCTAAAGAACTGAAGCTACCATTTCCAGACCCCAAGTAACTAGCAGGGGTGGAAGCATTTGTGGCATTACTAAGGCCTACATTACCCCAGACATTCCTAGTAGTGGGGCTCAAAACAGGATCATTTCTTCCACTTCCGACACCATAGCCAATAGGAGTGTTATACCTGTTTGAATTCCCACCAAAATAGGGACTAATTATCCGCCCGTATCCAAGACTGTTGCCAAAGTTGGAATTCCCACCATAGTTTGGGCTCATTCCCGGTTCTATATTCATACCTATTCCATATCCAGTGGCACTAAATGGAGGAAACCCACTTCGCCCACCAGCGATAGGACTAAACCTACCATCAATCCGAACCCCAATGCCTCCAACCGGACTTAGATTATATGCTTGCGCGCATAACTATTGAGGAAGCTGGAAGCCCTATTCAAACCATAATTATATCCGATTGTAAGGTTGCGGTTGGTGGCTCCTGGAGATAGTTCTTTAGGCACTGCTCTCTTGACCTCAACCAATTTCCCGTTAAGTTCATGAAATGTTTTATGCAGGACTTTGTCTACCGATTCTTCTGAATCATAGGTGATGAAGCCGAACCCTCTCGGCCTTTGTGTGTTATGATCATACATCACCACAACATCAATAATTTTACCAAACTGATCAAAGTAATTCTTAAAGTCAACCTCAGTTACAGTAGATGCCAAACCTCCAACAAAAATCTTTTTTGTTCGTCCAAGACCAGTAGGTACAGTGATGCCAACCATGTTCCTGTTTAGAAGGAGTTGGTCGTCCCTAGGAACAGCCTTCTTTGCCTCAACCTGAAAATTGAGCAGTCAACAACTTGAATCGACCAATTGCAACTCGAATTCTGTCTCAAACAATTAAATCAAAGCCACAAAAACAGTTCAAAGTAGACAATTTGGTGGATTTAACTCGCTGTGATTATCACAAATATCGAATTAATCAAGGAAAAATAACATCCCAATACCAATTAAATCTGTAATACATGAAAGATAAATATAATCAAGGCTCTCACCGTGCGACCATCAATCATATGCTTATCCAAAATTACCCTCCCGGCAACAGCAGGATCGGCAAAGACAACAAAACCAAAGCCACGAGCACGGCCTGTGACACGGTCTCTCATGATCATTGCCTCCACCACTTCACCATACTTTCCGAAATACTCCTTCAGACGTTCCTCATTGGTGTCCCAGGATATCCCACCAATGAAGAGTTTACCAAGATCTGATTCCATCTTATCTACAATCACCATCATCGACCACCAATTTCAATCTCAAAAGCACAACTTGTAATTTTTTTTCAGAATAATGCTTTCCACAACTGGATTAAAAGATTAAATTTTCAAATTCAATCAGAATTCTAGCACCAATTCCATAAAAGAAACTCTTACGCATCTTAAAAAGACAATCCTCAATTATACAGCAATCAGCAGCAGCTGAAAGGATCCATCTTTATGCAGAAAAACAAACCAAAACAGATAAAAATACGAACAATAACTACAATCAAACACGAAAATTAAAATAAAATGCATACCTTTTGTTATGAATTACAGGTAGAATCTACTACCAACGACAAAGTGGATAGCTGTCAAATCCAATCTTGGACCATATCAAAAACTTATGCAGTAATCAGAAAAAAACCCAGAATTCCTGCCAATCATAACCATTTAAAATTGAGATTGAATTATGAGATCAAGACAAAGGACCAAAGATCAGGAAACAGAGAAAAACAGAGACGAAGCAAAAGAACAAACTTTACCATTTTGGAAATGGCCCAGATTAGAAAATGGGAATACAATTAAGATCTGAGATGAGAAATGATGACAATGGAAACAGAAGAAGAGGTTTTTCTGTTCATTTTTTTTAATCCGTTTTCTCTCTTATCCTCTCCCCTCTCTGTTTCTTTTGTATCTTTCTTTGGTTATTCCACTCCTCTTAATTAAATCAAAAGCGATGGAATTTGAGGGGAAAAAGAGGAGAGAGAATATATGCTTAGAGAGGCAGAGAAATTGGGATTGGCAATCCTCTGGGCTAATAATATTTTGGAGGAGATGGTGAGTTTTTTAATGGAAAATTTAAACTTTTATTTTGAATTTTACTATATTTTTAATCTGATTTTAATTTTAGTCTCACTAATTGGTTGAGATTTAAGATTCAACCTGTAGTATGAACTAAACAATTTTAATGGTTAAACGATAACTCTAATCTCTAGATGTTTTGAGTTTAAACGTGATGTTTATAAGGGTATTTAAGTATTAATTGTTAAATAGGTAAGAGTTTTCCGAATAAATATTACGTTGTAATCAACCTCTATCTCAATTTGATATAATTTAATTTGGTTGATAAATATTATTAATTAATATTACTAAAATTTATATAGAAGATTCATTAATTAGTTTAGTGGTTAAGTATCCATATTATCTCATGTTGTCTGATTCAAATTTTGATATTTACCGAATGTAATAATTCTTTATTTAAAAGAAATAATAGATCCATATATCAATTTGAATCTATAGAAGTAGATGCCAAATTTATTTCAAATTAAAACAAAAAGATTAAATCTTGAATATCAACATAATGGAGGGACTAAAACCAAAATAAGACCTTAATGCATATGATATAACTATTCCTTACTTGGATTGCATGTTAGAACCAACTTTTGCATATTTAATCATGAAACAGACTTTTGGACCACTTTATTTAGACCTTAAATTTGCATTATAATATATATATATAGAGAGAGAGAGAGAGAGAGAGAGAGAGGTTGGTTCAAGTTTTAGGCATGCTGTTGTTGTCTTAAGTTGATGTTACAATGAAGGTTAGGATACAGATTAAGCCTAGCTGGCTCACACACACATTAATTAATAATTTGTTTATTATTTTTCCATTTGGATCACACATCATCAATTCATTACAGTTCGATGGCAATCATCATGTCTTGTTGTCTGGATTTTAGGGTTTTTGAAGTAGTTTTGTAAGATTGATGGAACAAATTTATTGCAGTTAGATGGTATGAATTTAATTTCGGTGTAAACAGAAAGCAAGGTCCAATGCTTAAATATAGTTTATTGGAAAAAGAGATTGGTTTTACACTGAAATTAATGTTTTGGGGATATTCAATGATTTGGTCTGCATTCTTTAAATATGAACAACCAAACCAACAAAACAAATTTACAAACGAGACAAAATAGATCGTATACTATTTAAACTCGATTCGATTAAAGTTTAATCAACAATGAATTCAATTTAAATTCGAATTCGACTTGGGTTTTTAATGAATCAAAGTGAGTTATTCGATACCCAACTCGAAAAACTCACAATCAATTAAAAAATGATATATTAATTTTTTGTACGGAATGGACAAATAAAATTTAATGATAGACACAATCAATAAAATAAATAATTGATCAAAGAAAACTTAAATTTTATGATGGACATGTGCCCACCGTGAGCAAAACATACATGCACAACTCGAGTTCAAATTTTATTGAAAAATGTAATACAGATTTTCATATACTTAAGATTTAAATTCAAACTCGAGTTCAAACTTTAGCTTAAGTCGAATTCGAGCTTCAAATTGAAAAACTTTCGTTGAGTTGAGTTTGATAATTTTAAACTTATAAACTTTCAAATCGAGTCAAACTCATCTTTAAACTTTTCAAATTGAGTCGAATTCGACTCAACTAGTGTACAACCCTGGCGGTAATTTAACAGTTTAGCCGACTAAAATATATCATTAACATTTAATTATACAAGGAGTTCCTTCTAATTGTGTGAATACCGAACAGGAAAATTAAAGATTCTACGGATACTGTAATAAACAGCTATCTGTAGGTTGGCATATCCATGCACAAGAAGCAACTATAGCTCGATTCATCCAGCCCAGATAAAGAACTCCATCTCTTTCTTCAAGTGTATACTTATCACGGTAACCTTGAAGCAGGGTCTTGATGGTGGAATTGACGAACGAGCTCAACGGAAGAGGTTTAAAGCCTGCCATGATAAACCTTGATCTCCATTTACCCAAAAGTTCGTGTCGTTCTACTCTCTCAGGCCCTTCGCATGCTATGATGTTGACGATCTCCCGTGCAAGACAGTGTTGTTCAACGCTGATCCGTTCCTTGTGATCCCTTGGTAGACTAACATCGATAGATTCAAAGACGGCTAAGTAGTGGTTCATTGTCTCTAGAAAGCGGGGAACGAATGGGGCAGTATTCGTGTTTGCTTCTTGCTCGACGAGTGTTACCACCTTTGGAGACAAACTCTTTGCCAACCTTAACAGTCTGTCTCGATGGTTCTGAGTGCCCACACTTTCGTCTGGCATGTGATGCAGCATCATGGCAAAGTTTACAGCAATGGCTTCACCGGGTCGAATTCTGAGGTCATCAAGTTGAACCTCAGTACCGGAAATAGCAGCGGCTTGGAACTCAAAAGGAACCTTACATGACTCCGCGAGCTTGCGTAGTCTTTGTCCCACTATTTCAAGTCCTCCTCCCCTGGCATAAGAAGATGTAGAATCATCTATGCCTGTAATACGTATGCTTGGAGGTCCACCTGGTCTAGCAGCAAGAGCATGGATTAAGGTAAGCCATTGGCTTCCTTGTGCAATCTGGAAATCAATTATATGGATTCTACTTTCATCTTTCATGGCTTCAGCAATTGCACCGTTTGCCGACATATAGCCGAACTTGAAATACGGGCAGATCTCATAGAGTATGTGCATATATGAAAGCAGTTCAGCACTGGCAGCCTCTTTGCATCTTAAGGCTTTGTAGATAGAACTTCCTGAAGAGGCCAACCTCGCAACAAGCCCTTCCAACATGTAGGCTCCTAATCGTTGCTTCGGTTCACCCAAAACCGACACCATTTGACGCAATTGTGTCATCAAGCAGTCGGTCATATACATATCTTTATTTTCTATGGCTTTAGCACAAGCACATAGAAGTTCTCTCAAGTCCCCTCGGGCAATCATCTCCATCATGTACTTCCACCTCTCTGATTCAATCGAGACTCCAGTCGATCTGCTGGACCCCGTGATAGTGTGAATATCGAAAATTTCCGAATCAGTGCCTAGCATTGCAGTTTCCAATTGTCTTATCATGTGGCTCAAGTCATGTTCATGGTCTGTCACACAAGAATCACTTACCGGTGAACCGCATGTATCGTCCGGGGAATGATTTCTGCCCATCGGGTAAGATTGGTTCGACTGTGAAACTGAACTACCATTTGGTGAGAAACTGGCAGTACAAGAAGAATTCTGCATGCCAGATGACGTATCAAGGGTGCAGTATCGTTCCAATTTGGGAGGCCGACAATAGGACTTCATCTCTTGCACTGTAATTTTTCGATTCTGAGACGTTTGCATCGGAGAAACTTCTTCAATTCACTGCAACCAATTGTCCGACAACAATAGAAAGAAACACTGGAAAACTTTTCTGATGAACAAAGAGATTGCTTTAATGGCAGCCAAGGCACTTCACTTTGGCATCCAACACCTAACAAATTCAACGCAGAAGATCTCATGAATTAAAGGGTAAAAAGCTAGAATTCACCTTCAAATCAAAGCCTATATAAATAAGACAGTCTATTCATTGAAAAGACGAAATCATAATAGATACATGCGCCAATGCTTGACTTATATGCTTATAAATATAAAGTAATTTTTTTGCAGATTTTCAACCATATATCTATATTAATAATTATATTTGAAAAGGGGGGAAAAACTAAAAGTTCTCTGAGAAATTATAACAAGCATCTTAGATGCAATAAAAGATATGGAAGCAGATATTCATCATATATAATCAAACTGTAAGATTCATATATCAATGAGCACAGAGATACCTCTATACAAGATTAGAAGATAGTTCAAAATCTTTCTTAGCCATTAAACAACTCATTCACACTAACATAGCTGCTTGAACCGAGACATCTAAAAAGAACAACAGCCCTTTTACCACTGAGATCGTAGTTCAATAGATTCAGAAACTTTAAATTTAAACCAGCTGAAAAGCTACTTCATCATCATTTAACTCATTTCAGGCCATAAATAACCCATGTTCATCATATAGAAGCAAAATAAAAAAATACCAAGAAGAAAGCGGCAAACCCATTTCAAAAACAAAATCACACACACAAAAGGAGTTTTAAGTCTTCAACAAATCAACGATTATAACAAAAAACTGCTAAAATTTCAATACAAATTATACAGTTAAGCTTCTTTTTTTCTACCATACCTTATTGGGTTCGCCTTTGAAGCTGATTTTTTGGGTGTTCGTCACTCGGTTTAACTTTTCAAATAAGAAAGATCAAAGCAGAACCCAAAACGTAAACGGCCATGCCCGACATGTCGTAATGTGTATCAACCTCCACTTTATAACGAAGATCCATTAACAATCGACCTTCTTAATTGTGAATATTACGTAACTGCCACTCTCACAATGACAGTTAATACGATCATCCTTACGTAAGGGATTATCGCATCAACCAAATTTGACTGTCACCCAAGAGTCAAAATATTACTAAAAATAATTGAATCTAGCCCCTATAAAATAAAAAATTTAACATTTAACCACTAAATTAAATTATACAATTACTAATTTTATGGGATAAAAATAAAATGCTTTATGTTTAAAATGTTTTGGGGTCAACCAAAAAAATTTATTCAAGTATCAAAATATAATGAAATACATCCTCTTGAAAAAAATATTATTTAATCTTAATAACAATTTAAAATTTGCAAAACATTAAACCGAGATTTTACTGATTATAATATAATAAATTAAAATGACAAATTTAAAATATTGTTTTCACCTATAAATTATATAAAAGCTTGTGTATTTTTAAAGGATTAAATTCCTTTTTTAGGACGAAAGAAAGTCAACACCAAACTTATTTTATTATTCATCTTTTAGTCCTTATCTCTTTGATAATAGGTGAGTTAAGCAGTATACTATTTTTAAAAATTAAGAAATATACTTTTTTTAATAGTTTAGATTGATTATAAAGTAATATCTCTTCAGAATTTTTTTAACCATTGATAATGTACATACACTTTGCAGACACAATTACTCGAACTCATTATATCTTGGAATAACAACACTCTCTTTAATCATTGAGATCATTTAACTGATCTAATCCTAATCTTATCTAAAGGGAAATGGAGACTTCAGGGGAAGAAAAGGAAGTGCTTCGGATGGGTCTAAAATTCATGACCTAAAGAATTATGAAAAAATAAAGATGAATAATTTGATTAACCGATCGAATATAATTGCTTTTATTTCACCCAATTTGAATATATTGTATTAGGCTGAATCCTTCGAATAATAGTCAAATGATATACCTTTTCATGGAATAATTGTAACCCCATTTGTACCATGGATTGTACGGTTGGAAAAGGTCTAAAATTTGGGGCTAATCTCACCACCATATCAAATAATCAATACTATATTGGTTTATTTCTTCGATCTATGTGGTGGGTTTTCTTTAATCAATAACTTATTTAAATTATATGAAGAAATTAATAGAAAAACGGGGGTTTTTTCTATCATAAGTAAACCGTACATGATTACACCCATTATTAAATACCTCATGGGGGCATGATTTTAAAGGGTTAGAAAAAATAATTCTAGAAGTTGTTGCTTTTTATATGCAAGATAAGAGAAGAGAAGTGTGACATGCTTAAAAATTTCCTACAATTGTGTCCACCTTTTCTTCTTTTTCTTGATATGAGTACTCTTTAGAGTTTGAAATGTTAAACGATAATAGATTTTGACAACAAAGTTTGAGGGGAGTTATTTCAAATTTCTAAAACTTCTGAGGGGTTTAATTTAAAATTTTCAAAAAAGTAAGGGTATAACTAATATTTTTAAAAATTCTGAGACCTGACGAAAACATTTAAAAATTTTAGGAGGAGATTTAATTAAAAATGTTAGAAAAACAAAACATAATTTTTTATAAAAAATTGAAAGAATGAAATTGAAATTTTTAAAAGATTAAATATTAATTTGTTAATATTTGGGAGACAAGCCACCAAGTGTCCAAGTGTAACTTTGAAATAGCTTTTGATCCGGTCAAGTGTCAACAACCCACCAGTTGTTCTAGTGAGACGAGTTATTAGATTTTTTTTAAATAATGTTAAGAGTTTGAATCTTGAGGTTCGTGAATTAAATAAACCGGATTGAAAAAGCTAGCCTATATAATGGACTCTACAAAATCTAATATGAATTAGTCGATCGATGGATCATATATTAATATTAATTAAAAAAAGTTTTTACCCATGGTTATTGCCGACCTCTTTTAAGAAAGTTTGCCTTAATTTGTAGTGTTTATTTTCAATAATAAAGAAAAAAAAAGTTTTTTAGGAATATATAAGAAAGAGATTGAAATTTGTCCAATATTTCCTCCCAAAAGTCCAAATTAATTGCGTAATATTATATGGTTTTCAATGCCTCGACCACCATGTCACATTGATGCCAACGTAGGATTTATGAATTGTTATAATGCCTGACGAGAGGCATAGTTTTAGTGAATTCCAGATTTTTATTATCCCAAATATTTTTATAAAATTCACTTAAAAATTTTACAAAATAAAATTAAAATTATACAATCAGCACAATATCACACATTTATAAAATTCGAGTATTCCATATTTATTGAAACTATATAGTATATGATGCCATTTTCTTAAGGTAATAATATCACATTTCAATTATGGAAAGTCAAAAGCTTTCTGCGTTGTCTACGTGTAGACAAAGAGGCAGAACAACGTCATCAAATTAGATACCACATGTCCCATTGATTTTCAAAGGACATCATTTCCAAGACTTTCTTTTGTAGCAAATAGCAATTAAAACAAAGTTCAAAGTCAAGTATTTGAGTATATCAGGAAGTTGACTATTTAATGTTAATGTCCATTTCTTACAAGCGTAGAAAATGTTATTCCTTTTCTTAATTGGAAGGTAGCTTCATGCTAATTATTTAATTATGATCATTTTTATAATAAGACTTCCCTATCATCTTTTCCCTCCCATTGTTATCACGATAAAAGCAAGGTGGCCAATACTTCACCCTTCAATATATATATATATATATATATATATATATATATTATATAGATTTAGGGATGTGCACGAGACCCGAAACCGACGGGTTCTTACCCGATCTGACCAAATCGGGTCAGGATTTTTTTTAAAAAAAATTAGGTTTGGGTCGGATTCGGGTTTATGGTAAAAAATATCCAATCCGACCCGACCCGAAAAAATAATGTTACCTTATATATTTAGGACTAATTACAATAATATCCATCTATATATTTTTTTCAATTAAATCACCGTTTTTATTGAATAAAAATAATATTTTATTATTATTTTGAGTCGGGTCAGATCGGGTACAAATTTTATCTTAAAATGTCGAGTTAAGTGGAAGGTATATATTTTTCGGGTCGGGTGAATAACGTAAAATTTTTAGGTCCGGTCGGATTGACCGAATCCCGATCTATGCTCATCCCTATATATATTACTAATATGGATACATTTTGACGATGGTACGCTTAGTTGTGACATTTTAAGAAAAAATAAATTTTAAAATATTATATATTTATCTATTACTAATATGGATACAAATTGACATTGGTACGTTTAGTTGTATCATTTTAAGAAAAATTAAATTTTAAAATATTATATATTTATACACAATTAAATTATATGTGTATATATTGATAATATTAATTAGGATTAATGATTATATTTTATTTTTTAATATATATATATATATGATTAAAATAAATAACATTAAAATTTAGTTTAAAATATCAAAAACATTTGTACCAACTAATGTTAAGGGAGAGTAAACAGTTAAAATTTTAACTGATTGGTTGGGTTGATTTTTTATTTCTTTTAAAATCAGTCAGAATCTATAAAAATAAAAAAAGTATTTTTTTGGATTAAATCAAAATGATTAATTTGTGTAAGACCAAATTAAATTAATCGAACTAAAATAACTTCAATTGGTTCAATTAATTATTCGGTTAATTTTGAAATTTTGGTAATTTAAACTAATAATTATGTAATGCATATTTAATTTAGAATAATATATCCTTGTTTGCACTCGTACCCGTCTAGACTTGCAACATGATCTAAACTTGAGCCTTTATTTTGTTACCAACTCACTAATATCTAGAAATGGAGATGAGTCGCGTTGGATCAGGTTTCCAGTTAACCAAATACGACTAAAAAAATAAACAATATTCACTTAAAATATGAATAGACTTGAATTTAAAGTGATTTTATCCGATCTAAAATCCTACTCACTTTTTGAGATAAAATATAAATCTAAATCCAACCCAAAAATAAATATATTTATAAAAAATATTAATTTTATTCGATAAAATATGAATATAATTAAAAAATAATATAAAGAAAGATATTATTGGAATTATCTCTAAATAGATAAAGTATAATTACATTATTTTCTTAACTCAAGTCAGATTTTTCATCATAAATTTGGACATGATTTGATCAGAACTTATCTTTTAAAAACTTAATCCAACCCAAATCTAAATTATAGAGTGAGAAAATAAGAGAAAATTAGAAGAAATTGATGAATAAAAAAAGAAGATAAAAATACAAGGGGTTTTTGGGTTTAGTCGGTGGAGTGAAATTTAATTTTATATAAATTAATTTTTACATAAAGTAATTTTTAAATTTTTATTTTTCGTTTTATTTTTTGTGAGATCAATTTTTTTATGGAACAATTGACTTCATAATCTTAGATGTGATAATATTTGAGTTTAACTCTCTTCAAAGTTTAAAGATTTTAAGTAAAAATAATAGTAAAAATATATTCTTATCCTCCTAAATGATAAAAAAACTACTTTGATCCTTTAAAAAAAAAGTGTTGTATAAAACACATTATATATAAAATTTAAAAAACTTAAAAAAAAATGGTAAAAATATTTAAAAATCCAAAAAAATAAAATTAAAAAAACATTCTCTTTTATTTAAACAGCAGGGAACAAAAGCCTAACACTCCCAGCACAGTGATCTCCTAATCGATGTTGGCACTGTTGTTCATTCTGTGAGGATTGTAAACATGTTTGAAACTTTCTAAACACCTACACTGCATCCTCTTCTAAACATGTCATACCTCTCTTTTTCCTGTCATCAACATTTTAAAAAAAGTGTAGAACCATCACTTTTATGTTCTTTTGCCGTGCCGATTCTTGTAAACCGATGGGAAACCCAAGAAAACTGGTTTGCTCATGTATAAATTTGCAGGTGTTATCTTTCAAACTGGCATTCTGACTACCACTACCATGTGTTTCACTCGGCCTAAATGGCTGCCGAAACGCCGCTGCTTTCTATGGTGGGTGCAAAAGGGCTGTCCGGCAGATTATATCCTTCGCTGCAGTTTCGAAACAGCCGTTACACATGAAGCCCGTAATTGAGAATTACAGTACCTCCAAGGGAGACTTTAAGAAACGTAATTTAAGATAAAAATAATAGGGGTTTTTGGGTTTAGTAGGTGGAGTGAAATTTAATTTTATATAAATTAATTTTTACATAAAGTAATTTTTAAATTTTTATTTTTCGTTTTATTTTTTGTGAGATCAATTTTTTTATGGAACAATTGACTTCATAATCTTAGATGTGATAATATTTGAGTTCAACTCTCTTCAAAGTTTAAAGATTTTAAGTAAAAATAATAGTAAAAATATATTCTTGTCCTCCTAAATGATAAAAAAAAAACTACTTTGATCCTTTTTTAAAAAAAAGTATTGTATAAAACACATTATATATAAAATTTAAAAAACTTAAAAAAATTGGTAAAAATATTTAAAAATCCAAAAAATAAAATTAAAAAAGCATTCTCGTTTATTTAAACAGCAGAGAACAAAAGCCTAACACTCCCAGCACAGTGATCTCCTAATCGATGTTGGCACTGTTGTTCATTCTGTGAGGATTGTAAACATGTTTGAAACTTTCTAAACACCTACACTGCATCCTCTTCTAAACATGTCATACCTCTCTTTTTCCTGTCATCAACATTTTAAAAAAAGTGTAGAACCATCACTTTTATGTTCTTTTGCCGTGCCGATTCTTGTAAACCGATGGGAAACCCAAGAAAACTGGTTTGCTCATGTATAAATTTGCAGGTGTTATCTTTCAAACTGGCATTCTAACTACCACTACCATGTGTTTCACTCGGCCTAAATGGCTGCCGAAACGCCGCTGCTTTCTATGGTGGGTGCAAAAGGGCTGTCCGGCAGATTATATCCTTCGCTGCAGTTTCGAAACAGCCGTTACCACATGAAGCCCGTAATTGAGAATTACAGGTACCTCCAAGGGAGACTTTAAGAAACGTAATTTTCATACCTCTCTTGGTCATTGTTGTTAGTCTCTAAATGTTTGGTTTTTACATCAGATGCAGTGCTGGTATTGAGGGCTTCCAAGAGATAATTGAACTCCGCCAATGGGAAATCGAGTTGTTCTGCTCAGTAGAAAAGAAAAAGTGTTGGAAGGGAGCAGATAATGAAGGTGACATTAACTAATATGCTCGAAGTAGTCAAGTTCGATACCTTCCGACACTTTTAACTCATCCATGAAGTAACCAAAGGACTGATGGGCCAGAGGCTTTTGTGCCGAATGCATCTCCGAAGGACGTCTTCTCTGAAGTTGAAAGATTTGGTCTTGATCTTCGATAAGCTGCTCACGGAACAACCTAGACGTTGCATATCCTCTTGAAACTGAGAAAACCATACATCAGCATGCCAGATCAGAATGATGGCTGAAGCTGGCCTAGTGCTTACTGTTTATGTGGCTATGGACTGTAATTTGGATAAACAATGCGTTTGGTTCACGGAATGTAAGATTACCGGTGGGAATAAAAGATTACCAGGGAATATGATTACTGGGAATGTTATATTTTGTGTTTGGTTGGTTTAGCAGGAATGTAAGATTATCGTGTTTGGTTAAAAGAATAAAAGATTATTCGAATGTGTATTTGACCAAATTGTCCTTATTATATATTTGTATAATATTACAAGTTGTAAAATATTTATATATTTTCTTTAAAAAATTAAATTCATAATATTTATATTTTTTTTTACAAAATTAAAAATATAAAAAAGGTTTAATGAAAGGATAAAATTTTATTTTAACCCCTGAACTTCATATAAAATTTTAATTATAGACTTTTTTGTAAATCTAAAATAATTTAAGGATAAATTTATAATTTAACCTTCGTATAATTTTTATTATTCCATGACAGAAGAATGATATTTTTGAAAAAAAAATAAAATTTTAAGGGCATTTTAGTCCAAAACACCGGTAATGTTACAATACCTAAGGGAATGGAGGTAATGACATTCCCGGTAATATATCCCAAAAAATCCACTATTGGTAATAAAACAATACCGGGAATGACATTCCCGGCCAAACCAAACGGGGAAATGTGGATTCTATTCCCGGGGAATCCCACGTTCCCCCATCCAAACGCCCCCTAAAACAAAACCACTTACTTGAGTGAAGCTCAGGTTGCTCGTCCATGTAATGTGGAGAATAATACATCGGAGACTCGATTCGTTCCTGGTACTTCCTACAAGAAAATGAAATGCAGCTGTATGATTAATGTAGGAGAGATCAATGCCATGACAAAACTGTGGCTGCTGTGTGAGAACGATACCGATAAAGTTTGAAAAAGGAGAAATGGCTACTGCATTATACATTTCGATTCATGTAATTGGTATAGAACTCACAATTCCCAGTTTCAAAAATGCAGAATGGAAATAAAAAACAGTTACATTTACCTGTCAGCCTGCTTTGATTTCTCCCTGTAAGGTTTTACGAGAACACGAGCTCCGAAGACATAATGTGGATTTCCTTTAGCCAAAATCATCTTCACAGTATCTGCGCTGACAAAGGTTACGAACCCGAACATTCGTTTCTGTTGGCAGGGGATCCGAACATCTTCGACTTGTCCGTAATTGCTGCTATCAGACATGAGTAAAAAACCTTTGGGACAGTGAACATATATAAATGTAACTCAAATAAGCCTGCAAAAGGCTTAAAAATTCATGTAACCTGAAATAGGTGGAGATATCATCTTCACTAAATGTGCTCTCGGCCAGGAATGTAAGATATATCTGCCTCGATTCATTGAGGATCGGACCTGGATCGTTTTGATCATTTCGATTTTCCATATGCTTCAGAGCATCTTCAGCCAAAATGACAGCATGTTGTCCATGAGGCCTGTCAATCAACCACATAAGAGTTCATCAGTCGATGTTCCGCTGCGAATGTAGAACATCGTAATTCATAAACCGTACCTGTCTATTACTCGAATAGCATTTTTCAATCGAGCGAGAAGCTTTGTCAAACTATAGCTTGCTTTTCCATGTCTCTGGCTCTCTGTGAGATAACCATCTGCCTGCAGAACTTTACCGTATTTCTCGTAATATAACAATGGTAGAGACGCAATCGAAACCGGTTCCCCTTTCTTCGTTTTCAGGATATCAACTAATTCGATCTCTAATTTCTCGAGTGACATAATATTATCTTCACAACTAGCAGCAGCATCCAACTGGCCATACGTTTGAGGGAAGTTTTCCGAGACTTGGCCGTGAAGGTGCCTGCAATTACTTCCATACTTGCAGTAGCCTTTGTTAAAATAATGGCAGGTCTTAACTGGAAAATCGAGCACGTTTTGATGTCGACGTAGTCCCGGTCTTACTCCAACATTACAGTAACAATAATCATGTGAAAATCCATTATCACTTCTTAAGTTCAAAGATCCCATCTGATCCTCCAAGCTCAAGAACTGTGTACCGGACGGGACTGGCGGTGAGAAAGCAGTGAACTGCGAGACTAATTCCGAACCGGGGACCGAGTTCATCGTCGGGGATATCGGAGGCGATCCGGATTTAAGAGGCAACTGTTGGAGTTCAACTTTGATTCTATGGATTACTTCCTGGATAACAACATCAGGACAAATTGCCAGTTGAGCAATTTCCTGTGCACCATGGTCTTGCAATAGGATGTATCCTATGACTTTCAACGCATTTTCTGGTTCAATTTTCTTTATTTTATTGTATACAATCTGTGTATAGCCCGAAAACTCCATCCTGCATTTACCCTTTTTTTTAAACTTAATCACTGCAGATAAAAATGCAAAAAAAAAAAAAGTAAAAGAAAAGGAAAATTGAAGCTGCAGTTCTTCTTCTTCTTCTTCTCACATGATTAAGTCTCTTTATATCTCACTTCCATGAAAGTGAAGAACTTTCATGTGATTTCTTCAACTGTATGAATCAAAATACATCAATGAGTTTTTGATAGATTTTTAAAAGAAAAACAAAACTCACTCGCCTGCTGTTGCTCAATTTATATACAGAAAAATTCACCTTTTTATAAATATTTTAAATCATCAATGATTTTATTTTTAATTTAAAAAAAAGAATATAAATCTTCAAAGCTTAGATTTTTTAAAATTGAGTTGGAGAGAATTAAGCCAATAAAATTTCTTGATTTTCCATTTTGGTTGACTATTTAAATTACATACCTGACCCTTTTTTTTATAAATACTACGATCAAAATCCCATTAATTAATTAATTTATTTATAGAAAAATGAGTTATCAAAATATTATTTTTTTAATAATATTCCAAAATGCTATATTTAAATCAATGGTCTAGATTTTTGAGGACCATGGAGAACACATGCACCTTAGTTATGTATGCAAATTAATGCAAGTTGCTTTATTAATTTAAATGCTACACAAGGTAATAAATAAAATCACCTAAATGTACTTTAAAAAGGTATAATAATTTTATTATACCCTCAAGAATCATGTCCTATTTAAAAACAAAAAGAAAAAGCATAATATGAAAATAATTTTTCCAAAATATAATTAAAATATATTTAAATTTAAATAATTTGATTGAAAATTATTTTTTAATAAATGTTAAAAATTGGTAGGGTATGATTCTCTACAAGATAACATTTATACACTTTAAAGCTCTTAATATTTTCTATATATATAATAAAATATTTTTTGGTTTATTTAATTTCTATTTTATAAAAAATATAGAAAATAATAAAGAAATAATTAAATGATTGATAGTGAGAGGATGAATTTGGTAATTAAAGAAGATGGTGAGAAAATTATATAGGAGAAATTAAAGGGGATTATTCATGAAAGTGGTGACCAATTCTACAGCTGGAAGTCAAAATAAGATTTTTTTAAGAATTATTTTAATTTTTTGGTAAATGATAAATATTTAATGTTTATTAATTAACAAGGAGATTAAAGATATGATTAGATAGAAGCGCGCTTTTCTGTTGGGATTATCAGAGTATTATTCGGATCTATTGGCTTATTTCTTCCGACTCTATTATAATTTACGTGTTTTTTTTTACCTTTACACACTGTATTTATTTAAAATATAATTTATTTAGGGATTAATATTCGATCAAGTTGAGTTAAAAAAATTTAATTAGTTGAATTGATAAGTCTTCTTTTAAGATTTAAACTTTATTTTTTAGTTGAGTCGAGTCGTATCAAGTTAAATTTTTTAGTTTTTATTCAAATTTAATTACAAATATTTATAATGTTATGGTGCAGATTGATCCAATTTAACAATTTTTTCTAACCATACAAGGTATATAATTTTTTTTTCACATTGCAATGTTAATTAATTTAATCTTATTTTTTTAAAAGAAAATATTTCGAAGAAAAAATATTGAAGAGAGAATAAAAGAATTAAGACAAAGTTTAACAAAATAATTATAGTTAAAATATTTCAAAAAAAATATTGAAGAGTTTATAAAAGAATTAAGGTGAAATTTAACAAAATAATTATAATAAAAAAGATAAATTGAGTAAAAAACAAAGATAATGGATTAATAGTAAAATGAGTAAATATGTTATTAAAAATAGGAATTGAAGTTACATGATAAATAAGTACGTGATTCAAATTCGGTAAGGATAAACTTAAGATGATGGATAAATTAGGGGTAAATAATTTTGAGTTAGTTGAGCTGATGAATCATATTTCATCATTAAAACTTTATTTAATTTTTGTTCAGTCGATTCTATCGCATGAGATTCACGTCAAATTTTTTTCGAAATGAATCGAGTTTTACTCACCCCTAAATCCACTTAAAATAATTATATTAAAGCATAATTAATAATTAAAAGATTTTCTTTTGTATTAGTACGAATATTTTACATGTTGTTTAGTTGGATAATACGGATAAAAGAAAAAGACAAAAATCTAATATATATAAATAAAATTTATTTTTATTTTAAATAGATTTTCGGGATAATTGAAGTTTTATAATAACCGTTTCCATTTTAATTACTAATTTATCTCTGTTTTTATCTTTATAAATATCCTACCCTAACTTATTATTTTACACACTCAAAATTATTTGTTTCTTTATAATTTATCTTTTTCTATTATATATTTGAAAAGAGGAATATCAAGCGAGTTTTACTTATTGTTTCGAATGTATAAAGTTTAGAAGACGATGAACTTTGGGTACAATATCCATTTCACAATTACATTAATTCACGAAATAACTTCTGAGGTAATGAGTTTTACGACGACACAACTATATTCTTCTTCTTCTATCACTATTATTTATGATAATCATTACTAATCGTATTAAATTGTTAAATGTTTTAGAATAAATTTTTGTGAGTGTTACACATTGATCTTTTAACTTCTTATTATAAGTTATTTTATAGGGAAAAATATACTTTGATTTATCACGAAAGAAATCTGCTATTATCAAAGGTTTAAGATATAATGTTTTGAATATTATTAAATCATATAAAGATGGATGCATAGTCTTAAAGAGATCCATCACTTCAAATAATATTAAAGTTGTATCTTATTCCATTTTAATTATGATTAATTAATATATATTTTTGAGTAGAATATTACGGATTGAGAGATATTGTTTTTTCGTATTTAAAAATTGAGAGCGTTATTTTATTGAGTCTCCCGATTATTAAAAGTCATAAAATGATCATTTGACTATTTATATGTTTTAAACTCGTCATTTTCTATTTAATAATTGGTGGCAGTTTGAGCTGAACGTTAATATGTTGAAGGAGATATGAGAAATTTGATCCCAAAACCGTTTGAATTGTATTTTACAAATCAGCTCTCCGTTTACATTATATCGTCGAGCCAATACTTGAAACATTATGCTGTCGAGCCAGTGCTTCAAAGCAACAACGATACCAATAGACGTCATTAAAATATGATTTAATCACATCTTAGTCAGTTAACGTCTAGCTCAGATAACCACTAATTTTTTACTGAAAAAGGATAAGTTTGGAACTCATGAATAATTGAATGATCATTTTATGATTTTTAATAGTCGGATACTCAACAAAACAACGCTTTTATAATCGAATGATTATTTTATAACTTTTAATAGTGAGGAGATTCAATAAAGTAGTATCCTATAGTTGGGGGACCATTTGTATACTTTACCCTTAATTAAATTGGATAACCTAATCATTATAAACTCCGAAATTATTTGGAAAGGAAAAAATATTTCAACCCAAATATAAAAAAATATTTTAACAGTTACTAATTTTTTTATTTAATGGCCCCCGGTTCTAAGGTTTTATCTTGAATAATTCAGTCTGACTTGCGTCTTATGCCTAGCTTTGATGGGTGAGTCTCCGAACATGAATTTTCTGCATACACAATGACTCGAACTCGAGAGCTTATTTAAAAAATATCAAGCTGCTTACCACTTGAACCAATATCTGTTGGTACAATTACTAAATTTTAATAAATGTATTATAAGGTTAATTGATATTAATAGTTCAATTGCAGATTAATCGTCAGTTAACATGTTACAATTTTTTCAAAGACAACATAAGATAAAAGTTTTATAAAATTTTCGAAACATATATATTTATAGACACATTTTATTTTTATAAAACATATTTATTAAGACATATATTTAACTTTTTAATTTAAAATCTTACATGCATATAATTTATAACTTATTTTTAATTATATTATCTCAAAACAATATAATTTATTATTAATAATTTATTAACGGTTAACCTATTGTTAACCATATATCAAAATCCATAATTGTAATTGTTAACATGTACTGTACTTTTAGTTGTTCAATTAATTAAAATCGTTTAATCTTAACAGTTCGATTAGTTAACATATAAATTATAAGAATTACGATAGTCAACAGTTACAAATTTTGATAAATATACTTTAAATAGAATTAAATCTTTGACTCCTTATCAACATGTATATCTTGAGTAGTTACATAAATTTGAAGAAAATATATCAATGGAATACCTGAACACGAAGTTATAACCTTTCAAAATTTTAGATTATATTTATATTCAAGTATTAAAATTCATTTATCTAAAACTTACTATTTTAAAAAAATCTAAAAATCTTTAATTTTAATCCCTATATATATTTTTAAAATAATTTTTATGATCTATACTTCTTTAATTCTTTTTTCAATAATGATTGGGAGTATTAATAGTTGATCCAAAGTCAAATTCGATTCGAATTCGGTTATTCTATTTGGGATTAAATTGTATACTTTTCACAAGCCCAAAGAAAATTCAATTATTTATAAGGGCAAAAAAAAAAAATACTCGACTCCTGAGAGCAGGCCAGCCAAGCCAGAACAGAGAATTGTCAAATAAAATAATATACCCCCAGCTTGTCCAAAACGACTCCATTAGAACAAGAATAAGAGAAAAACGACGTAAAATTACCTTATTATTATTATTTATCTATTTTTAAACCTCCTTTCTCTCCTCGATCTGCAATTCCTAAAGCAAGTTCTCATTCTATCTTTAGATCTCGCCTTCCACAAATCCCTTCACGAAGCCGTCGTTTTTTTAATTTGATCCGCAGTTTCTTCAAAATCATCGTCTAGATCTTTGACGGCCTGCCGCTGAAGGTGTAAGCCATTCAATACGACGCCGGTTAGTTTTTTTTGGTAGGATTTGATTGTTTTGGGAAAGGTAGTTTTGAGTTTTTTGAAAGAGAATAAAATTTTTAGTCAAAGTTGAAGCTAAGTTAGTGTAAAAGGATTTGAATTGTGGATGAGTTGATTTAAATTCAGTTTAGGGATGATTGTAAAT